CATTGATTCACTAAGAATAATCATTTTGATTAATCTACAGTGAAATGTTTTTTGTACCATTATTGGATCAGCTCCTTCAAAGAAGATATATTGTCCAAACTTTTTATCAATTGTTCCAAAGTATCCTTTTTCAAAGACATCTGCTCCCACGATTTTTGCTTCTTCTTCGTATTGAAGAAAATCCTGCAACGTAATTCCACTAAGAAATAGACTCTCTTGTGGTTTAGGAATTTTTCCAATTCTTTTAAATCTACTTGGAATAGATTTTGGTTCTTTATGGGTTTCAACTGCATCTTTAAAAGATAACATTCTAAACCTTTAGTTTTCACTTGGTGGTGGTCTAAAGAGTTGGGTTGGAAATCTGGGCCTAGCTCTTATTGAACTTGGGTTTTGACAATAATTCGGTTTCAAATGAATATTGTCGTATTCAAAAAGTTGTTTATATGGCATTGGGTTCTCACCTTTTTCTTGGTGGTATTTTGAAAAAGTTTCATGGGCTTTTGTATAAGTTTCGAAACTTTTACGTTTATAGGGCTTTCCTTTTACAAGTGGTTCAACTTGTGCCCAATTTGTATAGAAACCTCTTTATGGTCCATTATAGATCACATAGAATTTTTTTTCCTGCCATTGAAATATTTACACCAACCAATGGTTGATTTTCTTGAGTCTTAGGCACTTCTTTTGGATTTTGAATATCCATATGTTCTTGCGAACACTGAGGCATGATATGCTCTCTTGTATTTAATTGGATTTATGGTCCATGAGTTTTCAACTCTTTTTGTGGAATCTGAATTTCTTTATGTACATGAGTACACTGAGCTTTAACTCATATTGATCTCTTTTTCTGTATTTTTATCGCCATCAGTCTCGCTGATTTTGATTTTTCCTTGGGGTTGCTTTTCTTGAGTACTACTACTCTTCCCTGTTGAAATAGAAAATGTTTTGAGAAGTCTGTCTAACTTCTTTTTCAAAACTATTACCTTTTGTTGCCTTGTTGAGATTTCAATTTCTTCCATCTCAATTTGCATTTCAAGTTTTGCAATTTGGTCTTCCATGTTAGTCATTTTTACATGTAAAAGCAAATTCTCTAGTTAATGTATCAGCTAAAGAATTATTTTTTCCTTTGATAATTTCAATTTTGAAATCATAATGGTTGAACCACATTTGCCATCTGACCATTCTTCCTTGTTTGTAGTCTGGATGTACTTGATGTCTCATAAATGAATTACAAGTACTAGAATCTGTTATAATAGTAAAACTATTAGAAATTATATAAAGTCTGAATTTTGTTATAGCCTTTTTCATGGCTAAAATTTCTTTTTCATTTATGTGATAATTTTTTCTACTTTAGAAAAAGTTCCAGAAGCATAACCATATAATTTTTCTTCTACTTAGTCTTGTAAATCAAGAGCTTTTAAAACTGCTCCCCAATGTTCTTGAGATGCATCAATTTCAATTATCATTTTATCTCCTTCTTTTGTATGATATAATGATGGTAAAATTTTTATTTTAGATTTGATTTTTCCAACATAAAGAGTATCTTCTTTAGTCCAAATCCATCTAAAATCTTTTTTCAATTTCTTTTGTAATGGTGTCCTCATTTTCGCTAAATCTTTAATGAAAGATTCTGCATAAGTGAGACATCCAGGAAATCTCATTAACTATTTTTGGTCTTGAATTTCATTAGGAAATTCATTTATATGAATAAGAATATGAGGTTTAAGTTGTTTATAACCATTGGCTATATCTAGACCTAAATATCCAATTTTATCTTTAAACAATTCTGCTTTCTTTTCAGATAGCACAATTCCTGCATTTATTGCTTCATTTAAAACAATAATTACATGATTTTTATGTTCTTCTTCAATATCTGAAAATACTAAAATATCGTCTATATAAACACAACAAAATTTTTGATGTTTCTTAAAAATATTATCCATGTGTCTTTGGAAAATACGAAGTGCTTGTTTTAAGCCAAATGGTACTACTTTCCATTGATAGTGTCCTTGAGGACAACTAAAAGCTGTAAGATGTTTAGCTTTTTGGTCAAGTATTACTTGTCAGAAACTAAATTTACAATCAAAGGATGAAAATTTTTTATTTCCTTTTATGAGTTGTAAAAGACTTTGCATATTTAAAATTAAATATCCATCAATCTTAGTTATTTTATTTAGTTGAGAATAGTTAACAACCATTCTATCTTTTCCACGTCTTTTTTCAGATTCTTTTCTTACCATAAATGCTGGCGAAGAAAAATGAGATTTGCTTGATTCAATTAATTTTAAATCAATCAATTCTTTTATTTGGATTGAGAATTCTTCTCTATCTTTAGGGCTATAAGCCATTGCTTTAGCTTTTAAAATAGATGTTTTGAATTCATCAAGTAATTCAATAGTTGCTGTCATTTTTCCTTTATTCTTTTGTGGGTCTAACGGATTTTCTGAACAACATTTATTTAAAAGTTCCAAAATTTCCTCCCTTTGAGAATTTATTTTAAAACTTTGTTTTTCTTCATTAGTAATAAAAATATGACTCTTTTGAGCAATATTTTCACCTTGAATTTCTTTAAAATTCTTTTTCTTATTATCAATTTTCATTGTATTTAAGAATTTTTCTTGTAGAGCATTCATAATTAATGTTTTTCTTTGTTTTGGAATCCATAATATTTTACCACGAAGTGTAAAATTTATAGATTCAATTTCTTCTATGAATGGATGGTATAAATGACAAAAGTTATTTCCAATCATAAAATCAATTCCAGTTTCCAATTGGTAAACTGTTGGTACTTTAAAATAAAAAGTTTTCCATTGGGATTTATGATATCCATTAATCTCAATATTTAAACCTTTTACAATTTTAGAAGTTTTTATTTCAGATTTATCTGCAATCTTAAGTTTTAAGATTTTCTCAGATGTAACCTAAAATTGTTTAGGTATTATCCATTTACTAGCAGTACATACTGATGCTCTAGTATCTACAAGCATGAATATTAATTTTTCTATATCCTTCAAAACTTAATTTTATAGGTATATAGATTGAATTTGGATTTGTAATATTTTTATTACTCATCTTCAGATGTTACAGAAGTTTCTGATTCTAAATTTTCAAATTCAGATTCTGTAGTTAAGTAATACAATGATTCTGTATCACTAGGATCTTCTACTGGATAGAAGCCTTGTTTTTGAAATGTAGTAAGAAGTTTAATTATTTCTTCATTTCCTTGTCTTGCTGGGCATTTATTTGCATAATGTCCAGACTCATTACAGAGCCAACATCTGCAATTCTTTTTCTTTTGAGGACAAAATTTCTTTTTATCCAATTTATGTTTTTGATTTTTATTTTCCCTTCCCCGGGATTTTTTAAAAAAAAATTCTTTCTAAAATTTTTTTCTTTATATGGTTTTTTATATCTTTTAAAAATATATTTTTTCTTTTTAAAATATTTTCTTTTCTTTTCCTTTTTCTTGGATAGTATACATCCATATTATCCTGGTATTCTGCTGAGATAATTTTCACAACAGAGTTTAAGATTTTTAGCAATTGCTTGCTTACTATCTCTTACTAAAATACTTTCTTTGCATTTGTCTGCAAGAAGATTTCTAGTAAGTGTTATTATTAATCCTAAAGACCCCTCAATTCTTATATTGAGTTTAGGGTCAATATGATTTTCTTGTTTGCTTATAGCATTATTAAAAAGTTCCATTACCTCATGATTGAAAGGTTCAAGAAGTTTTCTAATAAACTTTTTTGTTAGTTCATTCCATTTGTTATCGGACAAATGTAGAAATATTTTGAAAATTCACAAGCATAATTTTCAAAATAACACATATCACATAGATATATTTTTTCTAAGTGATTAAGTGCATCAGCAATTTCAATTGTTGTTCTTTTACTTTTGAAAACTTCATAAGTTTGTCCAGTAAATTATTTTTATAATTGTTCAACAATTCTTTTGATAAATTGTGGAATACTATATTGAGAATCAGCCCAAATAATATTCTTTACATTATAATCAAATTTTTCTAGAAATGATCTAGCATTTCCTCTGGTACTTGCTAATACATAATTTCATGAATTAGCTTCACTTTTGATTATTTCTTTAATAGTGATCATAGCAATCATTAAATGACTATACCATGCATCAAAAATTTTTTCTGGTTCAAGTGTACAATCTAAATTTAGAATTGTAATTTGTTGTTGATTGTTTCTTTTTGGAACAAATTCTGATTGTAAAAAATTCTGATTTGTTTCTTTATTTATAGGGATTGGTCTCGGATTATAATCTCCTTCAATCCTTTTACCATCTCCTTTAGGATTTGAACTAGATGGTTCTTCAATTCTAATTCCTTGTTTTGGTTTAGGTTTCCTAATAACAATAGGTTCCCTATTGGTAAAGGATCTTTCATGAATCACAACTTCTTCATCAAATTCAGAGGTATTTTCATGTTCACTTAAGGATTCATTTGGTTTTGATTCCTGAGTATCAGGTTTTATTGTCATAAAATTTTCATTGTTTCCAATATTAATTTTTCTAACAATATGTTCAATTTTTTGTAATTCCTCATCTTCAAAAGATAGAAGAACGTTTAAGAGTTCTAGATCATTGCTAGTTTCATAAATGTTTTCAAGATTCTTTCTGAATTTTGACATCTTAATTTAAAAAACTTATATCAAAATTTCCTTTAGATTTATTTGTTTGAATGTCTTCCCCTTTTTCAAAAATTCCTAACGAAATTTTAGGAATTTTCTTTTGTAAGGGTTTTTTGCTCTTTATTCCAGCTATAATTATAGCAGAATATTTTTCCATAGGTTTTTCTGTATTTTCTTGAAGATTTTTAAGATGTATCTTAATTTCTTTAATACTATCTTTTAATGTTTTGTTTTCTTTTAAAATATCCATTTTAGACATTTTATTCGTCTCCATAAAGAGCTTTAGCCATTTCATTGACTGTTTTACTCAATTCTTTTAATTGTCTGCTTTGGCTGGTTTCAGCTTCTTTTTTCCACTTAACATTTGGAAGTGGTTTTCTATTTAGAGATATACTTCTAGTTAGAAGTGGTCTTTGTTCTTTAATTAAAGTTCTTTGGTCATCAAGATTAATTTCTAAAGATCTTCTTGATGGTTGAATTAACCATTCAAATTCTGTTTCTTTATGCTCAAGATAATTTGAGAACAAATGATCAATTTTTATTCCTTTTGGTTCTTTTAAAATTGTCATATTATGTTGATTATGTATAGCATAACTAACAAGATATGATATTGAAAAAGATACATTATTATTTTTGACTAAATCTGTTCTTCCATACTTGTGTATAAAAGAAAGCATCCCATCAAAATTTTGATCATGTAGACTTACTGAAAGTCTTGGATAAACTGTAAAAATCAGTTTTCCACATGATTCCCTTCAAGAGATCCTAGACATCCTTCAGTAGGATTTTGTATTTTTTCATCAATCAAACACATAGAAATAGGTTGATCAATTTTTTCAAATAGAGTACTTCGTATTTGGATACGAATTGCTCCAATAGTAACCCAAAAAAGATTCTTGTTATTGTCAAGATCTATCTTTGTTTGGCTTATTATGTCTTGTTTAGTAAGTAAGGATATTCCTATCTTACCATATGTATGTTGAACATGTATGGCAAACTCTTTCTGAGATACACCATAGTATACATGTTTATTTCTGTTCATGAATTTATCTAAAAAACCTGTTTGAGAAAAGATTTCTTTAGGTTCAATTGTAAGTTTTGTCTTGCAAATCTTGGCAAGCTTTTTGTCAGATATTAGAATTTCTCGAGAGAAATTTCTTTGTGATTCAATCTGCTCACAGATCTCATCACTATTATCTGTTTGTTCATTATTATGGTTTTCAACTTCCATAATTAATGATGACAAGTAATATAATGCAGAATAAAAGTTCTAACACTATATTCATATTTCTGTAAAACATCAATTATATTCAATTTTGATTTAGCTATTTTAACTCTTGGTTTATTTGTTTGCAATAGATAATTATATCTATCTTTATAATATATATAAACTTCATACTCAGAAGTAAATACAAGTATTTGTATATTACAATTATGACAATAAATCATGCTGCAATGTATCCTATATATTTTAATCTTTCAATTAAAATATTCTTTTCAATTGTAAACTCTTCAATAATTTCATCCTAGTAATCAGTAGTTGTATACCAGATTAGTCCATTTCCTTGTTTTTTAATTTCAACAATAACTTTATTAATCATAAAGATTAATTTTCTTAAAAGTTTTACTTCTTTTAGAATTTGTTTCATTTTAAATCTTTTTAGGCTCTGATACCATTTGAGAGG